TGTTAAAAAAAAAAAAAAAAAAAAGCACCTACAAGGGTCTTTAAAACTGCACAGCCTGGCTGCCGTGGCTCAGCAGTTGAGCATCGATCTAGGGTCCAGGAGATTGCAGTTTGATTCCCAGTCAGGGCACATGCCTGGGTTGCGGGCTCCATCCCCAGTGGGGGGCATGCAGGAGGCAGCCAATCAATGACTCTCATCATTGATGTTTCTATCTCTCCCTTTCCCTTCCTCTCTCTGAAATCAATAAAGACATATGTTAAAAAAACAAACAAACTGCACAGTCTCAGAAAGTGTAGGAATGGATTCTGCCTGGAAAGAGATGAAAGGTGACAGTATCATCTGACAGGAAACAGCAGAACCCCCCAGGACAAGCCATGTCAAGCAGCAGAATACCTGAGACACCTGAGAGCCTTGCTCAGACCCCAAGCGAACCTCACCTTTATGCTGCAGGAAGTGCAGACAGCTCTGGAAGGGAAGAGGAAAAGTGTCAGCCTGAAGAGGCCCAGGAAGAAACAGCTGCTTCCTGGTAGGTGTCCAACCAGCACACCTGCCAGTCAGCCTGCCTTTACCTTCTGCTAGGCCCCTGGTTACTTCAGTGTTTCACTTTCATTTGTCTCCCAAATCTTGCTTTTCTTTTTACTTAGTTCTACACCCAAAATATTTCTGCCCCTCTTGGCTCTTTTTCAGAATATCTCGTCTTGAGTTTTCTCATACCCTCCACATTTGTATTTACCTGACACTTCTCACCACAGAAATCATCTGAGCCAGAGGGGCCTCAATGGAGAGGCTGTTTTAAGCAGTGATTAACATTTTTTATTCCCCACACCCGATTTCAAAAATAAATACCTGTAAAAGTTCAAACATTAGAGTTGTAATTTAGACAAAGGAGTCTTCTCTTCTAAAGCCCACTCAGAGATGATCCCTGCTAGCAATACAGACTTCATTCTCCAGATGTAAGCATCCATTAAAATATACGTTTAAATAAAAAATGTAATGGGGTATTATACATACTATTCTATAAAGATGCATCAGGGGCTCCTCTACATTAGTACAATTTGTCCAAATTCATTTTTAAAAACAAGGAGCCATGGATGTCCCATAATGAATTTGCCATCAACCGCTGGGTTAATTTTATTTCATTGTATGACTTGAATCCTTTTACATTTTTGAGACTTGTTTTATGACCCAGAATATGCTGTATTTTGGTGAACTTTCCATGTACACTTGAGAAGAATGTGTGCTGCTGCTTTCGGG